GAACCCTCCTGCCCTGCTGGTGGGAATGTGAATTTGTACAGCCACTATGGAGGACAGTATGGAGGTTCCTTAAAAAACTACAAATAGAACCACCATATGATCCAGCAATCCCACTACTGGGCATATACCCTGAGAAAACCATAATTCAAAAAGAGTCATGTACCAAAATGTTCATTGCAGCTCTGTTTACAATAGCCAGGAGGTGGAAACAACTTAAGTGTCCATCATCGGATGAATGGATAAAGAAGATGTGGCACGTATATACAATGGAATATTACTCAGCCATAAAAAGAAACGAAATTGAGTTATTTGTAGTGAGTTGGATGGACCTAGAGTCTGTCATACAGAGTGAAGTAAGTCAGAAAGAGAAAGACAAATACCGTATGCTAACACATATGTATGGAATTTAAGAAAAAAAACATGTCATGAAGAACCTAGGGGTAAGACAGGAATAAAGACACAGACCTACTAGAGAATGAACTTGAGGATATGGGGAGGGGGAAGTGTAAGCTGTGACAAAGTTAGAGAGTGTCATGGACATATATACACTGCCAAATGTAAAATAGATAGCTAGTGGGAAGCAGCCGCATAGCACAGGGAGATCAGCTTGGTGCTTTGTGACCACCTAGAGGGACGGGATAGGACGGGTGGGAGGGAGACACAAGAGGGAGGAGATATGGGGATATATGTATATGTATAGCTGATTCACTTTGTTATAAAGCAGAAACTAACACACCATTGTAAAGCAATTATACTCCAATAAAGATGTATAAAGAAAGTATATAAGAATTAAACCGTTTTTAAAATATAACGTTATCCAAGATGTTAGTGATAAGTAAAACCGAGAAATATCTACTATACATGTGGTAAACTGTTACAAATCAAATGGGGAAAAATCATCCCTACAAGTATTAAAAAGATATATAAACTCAAGAAAAGAAACAAATAGAAAAGCATAATATATAGAAATTCACATTGTCTAATAATACAACTCATTACATTGAGGTGTCATTTTTAAAAACCAGGAAGTCAGCAAAAATACAGAAAGAAAAGAGGGAAAAAAAAGACTACCTAAACCCCGTGTTGATGAGGGCTCAATAAATCATGTATAACATCTATCATGGGCTAGGTATTCCTGCATTTTGATACAGTGGCTCTATTTCTAAAAATCTACTCTGAGGACGTAAGCGGATGTGTAGAGAAAAGTATGTGTACAAAGGCTTTCATCAAAGTCTCAGAATAAGGAATAATACTATAAAAACAAACCATACTTTCCAGACTTGAGAAATACTTAAGTATTTCATGCAAATGTATAGTAATCCATTAAAATGAATGTTTTTGAAGGAAACATAGAAAATAACTTTTTTTTAAAGGCGGGTAAACAGTTATGATGATAGAATGGTCTATGCCGGTTGGATCAAAGCCTAGTTACGACTGGAGGATGCAAAAACCTGGAGCAGGGGTTACAGTCTACTAGGCAAACTGATCAGACCCTTCAGTGAAGGGCCTTGGGTGAGCTTAGTGCCAAATCATTGAGACTCCTGGTCACATAGGCAGAAAGGTCACTTGGGCTTCAAAGACAATGCTAACTTATTTCCCAGATTTGCCTAAGGTAAGTAAGTAAAGGCGATTATCATGTAATGATGATGATGATGGCATCATTATACAGAGAGTATTATATATATATAAAATCACATACATATGTATATCACATAAAATCCTGATAGTGACGCATGTAAAAAAATAAATTTTCCAAATACCTTTTCCAATAACCTCTCTTTGTGATTGCCTTTAAGTCCGAGATACAGCAGCTTTGGAAGAAAGTTCTTCACATGTTACTAATCAACCCCAAAGTGGAAGAATAATTTTTAGAAAGAAGCTGAAAGTTCCTGAAACAATTGTAATTCCAGTTCCATGATGCACTTTAGCTATGAATAAATAGGCATTGTAGAGAATAGTTTCACTGCTATCATTTGTGAGGCCACTCACTTATCTCTTGCTAATTTCAAAATGAGCACGTTCTTGTTTTTCTGACTAAGGTACTCAAAAGAAATTTCAAGTAACCATATAACCTTTTGTTGTAAATTTCTGTGAGTTCAGTGAATTGCATTTTAAGTGGAATGCCAGTTTGTGGAATGATGTCACGTTTGCATTTTAAAATTTAAACAAAAGCGAATTGTCCTTCTATTGTTAATGACTGTAGTATCCGCAGTTCAGTGTTTAAATAGATTTCAAATGACTTTCTTGTAATCGTTAATCATTTTAGTAGGTGGCATGAGGTCAGCCATCAATAAGCACATGAAAGTGTTGCAAATGAGGCTCAGGGATCAATAGAACATTCCTCTTCCCATGGAAACACAGCCTGCTCAGATGGCTGCTTTTCCTGTTCCTTTCTGTTTTGTATTTATGGTACATTCACAGGCACATTTTTTATGGAAAAACTGCCAAATTAGGGAAATTGACAAAATGTGTCTCACCAACATCATGACAGAGATGGCATTTGTTATAAAGAACATATCCTGAGAGAGGCAGGAGCAGGTATTACAGAAGCTAAGTTTGCAAAGTAAAGTTCTCAGCCTTTAATGGGTATGTGTCGTCGGTGGTCCACTTTCTTTTGCATGTATTTTTAAATGTATTACAAAGGCATACACTCATCTTAGTATGTGGAATTCTGTTATGGGTTTATTTTAAAAGACACACACTTAAATATGTAGGCTTTTGTTTATCAGGCTGAGACAAAACATTACCTTAATAAACGTCAGCTTCACTTTTGTTTCTTAGGCATTAAAACATTTTAATTACTGATTATTAATGGGAATATAAGTTGTTTCATGAAAAAATACAAAAATATTTACTGCTCCATTGCATAAAATAGATTTTCATATATACTGTCCTCCCTCTCCCTTGTTAGGCAGAAAGTAGATTTGTATTTATTATAAAGTTGATTACCATGTCTACAGATACATGTGTTCCTGCATATTTCATAAATGCCATTGTTTAACATAAAACATTTTACAAACTGTTTAAAAATGTTAAAGTACTTTTGTGGTAAAGAAGTGAAAAGAGAGAGATTTGAGGAAAGAAAGGAATCCCTTTGTTGTTTGTGCCTTTAATTATTTTCTGGAGAGATATTATAGGAACGACGTTTGCTTCTGTGTACCTCAGTATTTGTAGGAGATGACCTAGAAATTCACAACAGGGGTCAAGCCTGGGCTTGAGAGATAACCCATGAGAAGAGCCGTAAGCTAGAGAGAAATAAAAGTTTAGAAATAAGAAAAGTGATTTTTTATAAAAAGCAGCATGCACATCACCCCAGGGGGTGATCTCTAGCAATATCCTCTTTACTCATGTAAATACTCAAAAAGAAAAAGAAAACAAACAAGCAAAACCCCCCTCAACTCTTGTGAACTTAGGAGGAAAATATAAAAGACAGCCAAGAAGGAAATTCTCTAATGTTGCACTTTGGAGTCTGCGTAGGGGTCCCGCTTGCCGCCTATTCTTGACTCCCTTGGGGGAACATTTCTTGGGAAGAAACTGGTCCTCCCAGCAGTCGCCAGAGCACTGATTCCCAGAAGGTGTAACGAAGTGTGTGGCTGGGACAGGGAGAAAGTGTTGCCACTCATCTGTTGCACAAGCGCGAAGCTGGAGCAGGCATCTGCTGGGACGCAACGGGCGACCAGCAGCTCACCCCAGGGCTTTTGGAAGATAAAACGAATCAAGTAGAACCCGAGGGTGTCAAGTCGGGTAATCGCTAATCGCTAGCTAAGATTCCGCGTGGACGCCACTCTCTATTTTACAAATGGACTCTCCAGTCCCTGGGTCGTGACCAACCAAGCCTCCGTGAGTGACAAGCTGGGAATCATCGCGTCGCAGTGGCAAGCAAGTAAGTTATTGCCAACTTTGCCGATATATATGTTTTTCCTCTAAACACTTGGATCTTATTCTCAGGTGTGACCATTAAAGTGATTGCCCAAAGATAACTTTTATCCTGAAATCTCAGTACGCTGATGGGAGCATCCATCTCTCTCTCTCTCTCTCTCTCTCTCTCTCCCCCTCCCTCCCTCCCTCCCCCTCCCTCCCTCCCTCCCTCTCTCTCTCTCTCTCTGTCTCTGTCTCTGTCTCTCAATACATCCCGCCTGAAGCCACCGAACTTCGCGCTCCTAGGCTGGTGCGCGTTTGGGGTTTCAGTTAATATTTGGAAACTTACTGATTTCCTATGCCTGTTGCAAAGACAGAGCTGGTTGAGGGTGGGTGGAACGCTGCCTCGTTATTTATTCATTGCGACTGTCTCCATTGTTGACACTAGTAGCAAGCCGCAGACGCCTGCTCTTGCAGGGGAAGTCTGACACCTTGAGGACGGGAGAGCGGGTGCCGGGACCCCAGAAGAGCCAGAGTGGGAGAAGCTTTGAGAGTTACGGGGTGAGGGTGGCTGTTACTTTTTCAAGTCAGGCGACCTGCCGCCCGGGTGCTTGTTTACTAGGGTGGGAGCAGGGTGCTCAGAAGCCGGGTCCTGACGCGAACTGGAGTCGGGCAGCCTGCAGAGCTCGCCCGGAGCCTGGAGGTGTGTCTGGCTCGCCTCCAGGATCACTGGGTGGGTTCTGGCCACTGACAGGGCTGGATGACCGCTGGTTTGTGGTGAGCTCGCCTGCCCCCAAACACTTGGTTCACCCCAAACATTTGGCCCTGGGAGGCGGAGGGTATTCCTGGGCAGCCGAGCCGGGGTCCTGCCCTCGCGCGGGTCCCATCCACCGCCAGGCAGAGCGGTGCGTGGGACGCGCATCTTCACGAGTGGTCCCCTCCGAGCCCGGTCTGTGCGGACTCCGAGTCAGGCAGCCGCCGGAGATGGAGGGAGGGGTGCCTTCCTCTGGGTTCATCGGCTGACAGCCGTGGGAACGCTAACTTTATCCGGAGGGGTCCGTAAGGGCGAGGGTGGGCGAGGTTCTCCTCCCCCGGAGCTCACCTCCCCCTCCAGGGCCTCCCCTCCCCCGCCTCCCATGGCATCACTCTCAGAGCATCCTCACTCCGCCCAGTTCGGTGCCAGCTGCGTGGGCTCCAGCTTCGTGCGTTTTCCTTGGAATGCTCCAAAACTCGGCGGAGACTAAGGAAATCCCGTTGGAATTTGCCGGGCGTGCTCTCACCCGGCAAAGCACCCGCGCCGCCGACCTTGACTCGATCCCTCTTCAGCCAGAAGATTGCAACTTTGCAGGTAAAGAGGGTGTCGCCTCAGAGCTCCATTTGACCCGAGCTATACCTCGCCTGCTTTCTGGGATCTCGGTTAAGTTTCTCAAGCTGCCTGGGAAGCCGGCTCTCTCTTGGGAGGCGGACATCCCTGGGGGGTTACGAGTTCAAGAGGCTCCGGCTGCACGGTTTCTCTTTAAGGCTTGGGACTGGGTCCGTGAAGCTTTCTGTGATGGATCCGGGCTGAGCTGGAGTTCTCAGCCTTTCACCGCAGCCGGCTTTAAAGCAGGGGAGAGGGCAAAGAGTGAACCCCCAGTGTGACTTATATGGTACTCAAAGCAGCAGCAGCCACGATATGGAGCTGGGAAAGAAGGCTGTTTTTAGCCTTTTATGCATTTAGGGAAAATGGAGATCTTGGTGGCCCCTGGGCGTATATAAGTGAGCCCTTAGATTCTGGTACCTAAACTGGGGTAGTGAAGAAAGGATAGTGATCAATATCCTGTCGATCAATTATACTCTGCGTCATTTTCATTCTCTATCAAAAAACAGAAACACTTATCCGTGTCGCTGGACCCAGGCTAGGGATTCCTAGTTTGCTTGGCAACTGAAATTCCAACTAAGCCAATGACCCTGTTTGCTACTTGGCTGAATCACTGAGATTTGCTGCACAACTTGTTGTTCTAGCTGAGAACTCAGCTGCCTTTTGTGATGAGGTAACTAGAGACTACTGGAAGGGGATGGACGGTTGGGAGAGATTGAGACAAGGGAGCTCCGTGTCTTGTCAGTATTCACCATGCTGTATCCACTATGGTGTAATCCTGTCACATGGTTTCTTAGGGTGGCCCTTCGTGGTTAATATCCACAGGGGACAAATGCAGCAGGTCGCTTACTCTGAGTAAGCACCAAGCCGAAGGAGCAGGGGGAGACAGAAGCAAGGTTTACTTGTTTTATTAAAAGGAAATTTAAAACATACTTGTAACACTGAAAAAAAAAATTCCGTTCTCATATACTTTCTGGATTTCCTATTACAGTAATTGCTGCACAAAACGTATTACAAATTCTTTAAGAGAAAAGGTTAGCTAGAGTTTGTTGTGTTTTTTTTTTTTAATTCTGAATTAGGGAGAGTAAGAGTGGGTGGATATGTTAAAACATTGAAATAGTCATCACTGTGTTATGGTTGGCTATTTATACTTAGATTTGTAATACCTACTTCTGTTCACCCGGACAGTAGACCAAGAAACACGTCTCTTTTAAGTATGGAAGGCAAAGAATCAATAAGATAAAGGGATAACTAGCAGTTCGAATATTAGAATCAAAATTTAGTAAGATATTGCTAAAGAAGCACTTTAAAACTATATTTATAAATTAATGCAGTTAATGCAAATCAGTATGTCGGTAGAAGTTAAATTGGCTTTATCAAAGTATTTTATGCAAATGTCTTGAATTAATGGACGGTTAGTACAGGTAGAAAGAAAGCAAGCACTTTCATTTTTCATGAATGGGACCACAGAGATGGAGACCCTTTCAGTAGAGCTGATCAGAGCTCAGCTACTAAGCTGAGCTGCTTAGCTTGCCGTTGTGGAGTGAAGTGCCAAGAAGGTTACACACAAAGAGAAGTACTAACAGGTTAATTAAATTGATACATAAGATGTACTTAATATTCATTGAGTGAATGAATATATAGTTAGGTAGGCAGACAGTTTAAGGCATAGCAAGAAGACTTGTAATTGCAAATTTAGAAAAGTTCTTCCACTTAGTTAAGAGCTTAAAGGAACATGGGCATTCATCAAAGCATAATTTATCTCAGCTCAACAGGTAAAAGAAACATGTATCTTTAGTAAATCCTGTCAAATATTAACTCTGAAAATCTTGGTTTTTGAAAAGTAAGTTTCAATTTACTTGCTTAATGGTCATTCTCACAGATATAAGAGGTGGAATAAATTTTCCATTACTTATAAGCTTTAACATTTTGTAATTTTTACATTATTTGTTTTTCTGTGGCAGTTATTCCTGTAAAGCCAAGTTCAAAATGCAAAGAGAAAACCTTGAGAAAATTAAAGTTCTATATGAATTTTATGGCCACTTTGATTATTAAAATGGTAAGAGAGCAAATAACTTTCCACATAAGATAAACTTTATTAACGCATACTTTATATAAGTAGGAAACACCAGACATTGCTTTTATTCTTTCTGATTAGGGGAATTTGAATATCATGTTCAGTACATACATTTTAAACTTTTAAACTTAAACCCTATTATAAATGTGATAAATTTCTATTGAAGTATAATAATAACCTCTAGGGATGCACTGATTAACCCCACTGAATTGAAAATACTTTCACAAATATATTGTAGAAAATATTGTCATAGTTTTATGCCTGTGTGTTTAATTGTCAGGATAATTTATGGCAATTCAGATTATCAACATTATATTTAGCAACTGAAAACTGACAATCTGCCTTTTCTAATTAATTCATATATTGGAACAAAAATAAAGACATGCACACTTTTGTTCAGTAGTTAATATTGTGAATATCAGTGCTCCAAGAGATAAAGGATTTTGTAAATAAAGATATAGAAGAAATGCTAAACACTAGCTAGGAAAGTAAAACTGTGGACTGAATATTTTCTTATGAAAATGTGCTTGGTTTATTTTTAAAAACAAGCTAGATGAAGGGAAATATAATAAACTATTAACTTTTCTTTTTTTCAAAATCATAATTGCTGAACATTTTATGAGATCAGATTCTAATGTGCATCTTTTCCTCCCACGTTGTATTGTCTGGGCCAAACTGAAACTCGTGTTACTCACCTCTTTAATATCTATGGAAAACCTACTATAAGCATTTTGGTTCTTATTAAAAATGATGGGGCTTCTCTGTTGGCGCAGTGGTTGAGAGTCTGCCTGCCGATGCAGGGGACACGGGTTCGTGCCCCAGTCTGGGAAGATCCCACATGCTGCGGAGCAGCTGAGCCCCGTGAGCCATGGCCGCTGAGCCTGCGCGTCCGGAGCCTGTGCTCCGCAACGGGAGAGGCCGCGACAGTGAGAGGCCCGCGTACCGCAAAAAAAAAAAAAAAAAAAAAAAAAGATGAAGAGACAGCTCAAAACAAAAACCGTATCTTTTCACCTCATTTATGCTTCATCATGCCGCACAACACATACTTATACCAAATAAACATTAAAACTTGTTAATTCAACCCACCTTAAATTGGACATTTGCTTCTGTCTAGTTGTGATGAAAAACTGCTTTAGAACTATCTTTTCTCTCCTTATGTTTTCTAGTTCTAATCCTCCAAGATGCATTGAGACCTTAATATTTTAAGAGATTTGAGAATATTTTGATCAGGGATGTAATATCATAGCTGTATCTTTTTAATCAGTACAAATAAAGACCTGATCTCTGAAAACATTAGTACTACCAAAATACGGTACGATGAAAAAATACATTTAGGAGAAGAAGCTCTTCATTTGTGAAACTGAAAATTAAAGACACATGCATTGGAAATGTATCAATTTAAAACTACATTGTTCCATGAACTATTCAGTAAATGTAGATATACTTAAATTTTTTAAAAATCTCAGTCATCCTTCTGAAAGTTCAGTTTCACTTAAACAGGTTATAAAAGAGAGACAATAGTTTCAGTACTTGATATTTTCTTTTAACTGATATCCCATTAATATTAGTATATGTTTTGTCAATCCTTATAAAAATGTTTTGCAGTGTCACTGAGTAACGGCTTCTTGAGAAGCAACAGATGACACATGGGCACAGTTTTATTCATAAAATTAGAAATGTTAAGTAAAATGTTAATTTAAAAACATGCCTTGATGGCTTTATCTAGCACACTGCATTCTTTTTGAGAAATGGCAAGTGAAATGTAATGAATCAGATATGCATTCGTTACACTCTGCCTGTAGTTTGCTATGTTTTTGAAATACGTTGAAAAAGTTACCATAAGTCATTCCTTGAACAAATATTATCAAGAGTAAATTTTACTTAAGACAGGAAAACAGGAACTATTATGAAAAAAGGAAAGGAGGAAAAAGAGAGGGGGCCATTATTTATGGGTACTTAAGGTATGCCAAGAGCTATGTTAGAAACTTAGAAAAAAAATTTTTTTCTCACATTTACCTTCACATCTACCCTAATACTAAGGTATTCTTACTACCTTTTAACAAATCTGAAAAGACTAAATTACTAAAAAAAAAAAAAAAAAAAATCACAAAGCTGCTTTATGGTAGAGTCAGGATTTGAACCCATGTCTACTTGATTCTAAAGCCAATACTCTTTTTCCTTGATTCTTATGGTCTCCAAAATAAAATTAGTAATCTTTTAACAAGATCCATAAATTCATTGTATTCTTGCAGCCATTTATTTAATTTTTCAAATGTTATAACACTGGGACATATTTATGAGGCTAGACCCCATTATGAGGCTAGAATTTGAAACAATACTCTTAACTAAGGCTCCATGGATTTTGAAGCAGAGCAGGAGATGAGCTACTCAGCTCAAGCTAGTTTCTTAAAATTATTTCCTTTCTTACTCTCAAATCTAAATGTAACATATGTGGAAAGAAAAAAAGGCTTATTTTCATGGATAGCATTCAAGGTAATAAATTTTTAAATAGTCATGAGATTATAATTTCTAAATAAAAAATTGTCATTCAAAACTTTAGAACATCTGCAGGCTGTTGATAAAATGTCTTTGTACAAAACACAGTCATGTTAAGACAGGTTTATATTGCATCTTATTAGTGTTATATGAAATTTCTAGACAAGTGTTCGTTTTGTTTTCATTTTAAGTTCCTAACTATTTTGCATGTCCCTTGGTATTTAATGAGGGGAGTGCTCTTTCATGCATCCCAGAAGATATCTGTCAGCTGGTGGCACATTTTAACAAACTTGCCATGGGTTTTTTTTTTTCTTTAAACCTACACCTGAATTTAAAACCAATGTGCTTAAATCCAAAAACCTATTGATGTCAAAAATTGAGGAAATAACTTTTTTGAATATGTCATACCATTACA